GGTTTTAGGGCAGTCTAACACTTGTAACCCATGCTGGCCTGGAACTCACTGTGTAGCTACCTAGGCTTTCCCTAAACTAGTCTCCTGCTTCACTCTGAGGGCAAGGACTACAAGCATCAACCACCATAGTTGGCTTCTATCGACTGTAATCTTACATATCCTGACCTTCGGCTGCATTCCTAACAGAAAATAATGTGTGCCCCAAAAGGATGTTAATGAACCAGTTTTTAAATGTTTGAAGTGGCAAGAGAGATGGGAATAGTTCTAATATTGAGAATACAAATCAGGATGTGAATCAAACGTGGTACAGGGACAAAATAGGATGGACCTCAAATTCTCATCAGGTAATGACTATGACAGTCTGCACTGTGTCTAAATTCATTTTGAAGGCCTACACCCTGGTGTGAACGTATTTTAAGTGGATCTTTAAGGAGGTAAAGGTTACATGAGATCTTGAGGGTAGGAGTCATCTGTATCCACAGGGTAAAGGTCCTGGGAGGACAGAGAAGACCTGAGGACAAGGGTCTGCACATGAAGGAGGCAGGCCTCAGGAGAAACCAATCCTGCCGACACCCTGACCTTGGACTCCCCGCCCCCACAACTGTGAGAAAATGAATTTCTGTTGTTTAAGACACATGGCCTAAGGTCTTTTGTTATGGCAACCAGAAGAAACTTGGATGGTGAACATCATTTATTGACAACAGGTCTGGGAAATGGCCAATGGCTGGGTTGTTCCATGCTGAACAGCCACGGATGGAGAGCTGGGTGTTAAAACTGGAGCCACAGGAGTGAATCACACAGCCCATGGAGAATGTGTAAAATGAGGTCGCAGTGGACTCCTGGCAAGCACGTATAAATGGACTCTAAAGAAAATGCTTCTTGTCAGAGCTGGGATCTGTAATGACCTCTCCACCCCAAAGGCTTGTGTCTGGTCCAGGATGGCGGAGATGCCAGGAGCAGTGGAGATGCCAGGAGACGGAACCTGGATAGTGGGGAGGGCTACGCATCTTGTCCCAGGCCCTTCTCTCACTCTCTTCTTCACAGCTGTCTAGAAGTAAGCAATCCAGCTCCACCATGATGCTCTGCTCCACCACTGCCCAAAAATAATGGAGACCAGGGACTGTGGGCTGAAGCTCTGGATTTTCTCGGGCTATTTTATCATGGCAATAGAAAGTAACTAACGCATTCCTGGAGAAATTTAGAGTAGGCAAAGAAACACAGGAAAGGCCTGAGGATGTGAGTGCCATGAAAGCTGAGAACACCAGTGCAAGCGGGCTCGTCAATGCTAGCTGCCACACAAAGATTTAAGATTAAGACTGACACTGTCAAAAAGCTCGAGGTCAGTGGTACCCTTGACAAAAAGGAAGGAAAAATGGAGGGTGGCTGTTTGGAAAAAGATACAGTGAGGAGGGGGGAGGTGGCTGTGCAGAGGCAGGTGCAGTGAGGAGGGGGGAGGTGGCTGTGCAGAGGCAGGTGCAGTGAGGAGGGGGGAGGTGGCTGTGCAGAAGCAGGTGCAGTGAGGAGGAGGTGGCCGTGCAGAGGCAGGTGCAGTGAGGAGGAGGTGGCCGTGCAGAGGCAGGTGCAGTGAGGAGGAGGTGGCTGTGCAGAGGCAGGTGCAGTGAGGAGGGGGGAGGTGGCTGTGCAGAGGCAGGTGCAGTGAGGAGGGGGGAGGTGGCTGTGCAGAGGCAGGTGCAGTGAGGAGGGGGGAGGTGGCTGTGCAGAGGCAGGTGCAGTGAGGAGGGGGGAGGTGGCTGTGCAGAGGCAGGTGCAGTGAGGAGGAGGTGGCTGTGCAGAGGCAGGTGCAGAGAGGAGGAGGTGGCTGTGCAGAGGCAGGTGCAGTGAGGAGGGGGGAGGTGGCTGTGCAGAGGCAGGTGCAGTGAGGAAGAGGTGGCCGTGCAAAGGCAGGTGCAGTGAGGAGGGGGGAGGTGGCTGTGCAGAAGCAGGTGCAGTGAGGAGGGGGGAGGTGGCTGTGCAGAGGCAGGTGCAGTGAGGAGGGGGGAGGTGGCTGTGCAGAGGCAGGTGCAGTGAGGAAGAGGTGGCCGTGCAAAGGCAGGTGCAGTGAGGAGGGGGGAGGTGGCTGTGCAGAAGCAGGTGCAGTGAGGAGGGGGGAGATGGCTGTGCAGAGGCAGGTGCAGTGAGGAGGGGGGAGATGGCTGTGCAGAGGCAGGTGCAGTGAGGAGGAAGCAGAGATGAGAAAGAGTCAAGAAGCCTAATTGTTAAAACAGAAAAAGGCTGTGGCTAGAACGAGACAATGGGTCCAGAAAGGATATCTCTAGGATTCTTTATCACATACAAGCACTTGGAGATGGAAGATGCTGAGATGCAAGAAACGGTGGGGTGGAGGGGAAAAAAAACAGAGAGAAAATGAACCCACACAGAATCTCCCACTACAGTAAGAACAAAAGAGGCAAGATATAGCTGTATTTACAGATGGAAGAGAAGAAACTGGGTTTTCCTGGCTAATGCTTTCTACTTTTTCCAAAGAAGTAAAATCTTGTCATTCGCTGAAACGAGATCAGTGTGATGGGAAAAACCGTCGTCACTGTCAGACACAGGGCTGGAGCGAAAACTCACCGATGAAAAGCACTGCTGCTCTTCCAGAGGACCCGGGTTGGATCCCCAGCGAAACTTCCTAACAGTCCTAGGAAACAAGAACCAGCCGACTTGGGCACTGAGGACCCAGTCAGGGTGGAGAGAACAGAGCTGCAGTGAACGGAGGGATGACGACCTCTGCTGTGACCCACAGCAAGATGTGCTGGAGAGAAGGCAAGAGTGGGCCTCCCTCGTCTGGCTTCCCCATCACTGACTTCATTCTCACCTCTCATGTAAGGGCCAATCTGACCGTGAACACTGTTAGCTATGCTAGTGATGCACAGTCAGAGACAACCTACTTAGTTAACACAAACTTAAAAGATCCACTTATATATATCTGGACATGGCGGTGCACACCTACGATCCCAGCACGTGGAAGGGAGGCTGAGGCAGGAGGATGTGAGTTATAAGCTACAGAGCAAGACCCTGTTTCAAAAAATATCTACTTAAGGTCAAAAATGGTGGGCAGGCTGCTGTTGCTGCATCCAGCCAGAGGCTGGTTGGTATGAGAAAAAGGTATTATAATTCTGTAAGACGCATCAAGCAGGTTAATTTGAGATCATATGATGTACAAGATGGAAGACGTGAGAGAAGTTACGAAGCTGCTTCCGGAGAACCTTTGTGACGACAGGACTGTCACATCACGACGGCCATGGGCCTGATCATGAGACATCAGCTCTTGCCAAAGATACACTGGACAAAATATGGGGAAGACAATCTATCTTGAGTCACCTCTGAAAGAGGTTTTTTGGTAAAGAAAGAAGGCAGAATGGGCGAAGGTCTCGTTTTGTAGCTGAGGTCTGTGGATGTGCTTGGTCTCAGTGTAGTGCTATGAGCTCAATACAGCACGATTTAAAAATGATTTGCTCAGCAGATGTCTCACGCTAAACAAACTTATATTTTAAAGCTCCTTACTGCCCTAAGTAAGTATATAAAGGAGTACTTCAAACACAAGCACAGGTTCCTAGTAAAAAGCTTACAGAGTAGACGGACACTTGTGGCTACACAAAGAACCCCCAGAAGATGAAGGTGCAACCAAATGCCCAAAGCCTGCTAGACTTGACACGCAAATACCTTAGGTAGAATGATGGGTCCCTCAGTAAAACTCAAACAACTGCTGCCTGTTTTAAAATAAAACTCTGGAGTCTCAGGCTGGTTGTTGGTTTAAAGACAAGTCCTCAGAGTAACAAGCAAAACCAAGGGTCAGCTGGGGGCAGACTGTAAACTACAATGTCACAACAAGGTAACGGTAGGTCACATGAAGTTTAGACTCTGGGAGTCCTCTTTTTTGTCACTTACCACCAGGGCCCTTTGAATCTCTGAGTTTCCTCCAGTGTAGCAGCAATAATACCCTTACCGATGTCAAGAGGTTGGAAAGGGACTGAGCTGAGGTGGGAACATTCGGCCAGAACTTTACCAGTGTATTGTCATCAGCATCACTTCCAGGATACAGCAAGCCGGAAGATGATCCTTAGAGAGACGGGTGGCACATGAACCCCATTTCCTGCCTGGGAGTGGTGGCGCACATCTCTAAGTTCCAGGCCAGCCTGGTCTATAGGGCGAGTTCCAGGATAGCCAAGACTATACAAAGAAATGCAGTCTTGAAAAAAAATTTTAAATTAAATGAAAAATAAACAAATCCCATTTCCTAATGGACTCGTCAGTGGAGGAAAGAAGAACAAGCAGTAGCTTCTCACAGCGCGTCCCTGTCTGGGGTCTAGAAAGGGTAATGGGGAAAAAAATCTATGAAGCAGGGAGATGTTCTATATCTCTGAGGGTTTTTGAGAAGTATGTATTTCCCCAAAGTTACCTAAAATGTATCCCATTAGAATACCAACACCCACAGGACCTGGTGGAGAAATCAGTGTGGATGTATTTCATCCCAGGATGCCTCCAAGACCTTAGGAATGAATTTCCAGTGAGGATATGGGATGCTGGGAGCACCACATTTATTTAATAACAGGACCCGTCTTCCACAGAGACGCAATGCGGGAATTCATCAAACACACGTGGGGAATCCACCTTAACCTCTGTTGGGCACAGTGTCATATGAGCACACGGACCAGCATAAAAGGAAAACAATAATTTTAACACTGGATCAACCCACTTTGTACCAATGCTACTAAAACAGAGTTTCGGTCTCTACGTCACCCAAACTACTGCTCTCCAAACCCACCTGTACAGCCCCATAATCCACAGTCACAGATGTCAAATTTACACTTCTGTTATTTTGTTTTTTTCTAAAATGTGCTTTTTTCTCAATGAAGTTTAAATCAGTTCAGGGCCTCCACCTCCCCTTAGGAAAATAAGGAAAATAAACACACAAACATACACACACACACACACACCCTCCAACCAGGTGAGAAATCCCCGGCGAGTAGACTATAACAAATATTGACACAAAGGGAGAAAAAGGCATGTTGAAATGTATTAGAATCAACCTGTACAAAAAAAAATTAAAATATAACCTGAAACTGTTCAAGTTCAGAAAGTCTAGTCAAGTCCTTTTCTCTGGTCAGGAGTATGTCATCAGAGGGCTCTGGATTGCCAGCCAAGGAGGGGCAGGAAGGAAGAAGAAAGAAGCAGCAATGGTCCTTCACCAATCTGAGGAGCTTCGGCACCACCATTCCTACCCCAGGGATGGCCAGGAGGCATGAAAGATCTCGGGAGAACAAATATTGGCAGACAATCCCAGTGGGCAGCTGGGCCTAGGTGCCAAATCAAGGCTGAGCAGTCAGGGACAGCAGGAGGAGTGGCCAGCAGAGGACACCAAGCAGGAGAAACATCTCTGCCACCCTCCACTCATACTCAGATACCAGAGGTTAGTCAGCCCAGAGCTCCCAACTTGAGGAGAGATCCTGGCTGGGCTGAAGAGGTTGAAAACCCAAAGGGTTAGTAAACAGAGCCCAGCACCACATCCCTCCATGGCCTGAACTGGCACTGCCAACAGGGGTAAGGCAGGAGGGGGGACCGTGGCTACCTGACTAGAGACACTTGCACCATTGTGGGTACTGTGGTACGTGGGGCTAGAGAAGCACGGCCCCCTCTTCACTCAGAGAGGAGCCTCCTCCACAGTCATCCCTCGGGACTGGGTAAACTGCCTCCAGCTTAGGACCAGCCTGACAAAATGACATGGAGCAAGAGAACAACGGGGGGGGGGGGGGGGGGGGGGAGCCCATACACAGAGACAAGGAACCCCTGGAGGGAAGCTGGGCAGTGTCGGACCCTGTTGGGATGGCATCCGCTGAGCCCCTGAGTCTGAAGGGAACAACTAGGAAGGGAGGCGAAGGAGGAGCAATCGTTTTCCGCAATGGTACCAATGGATGGGGAGGTACTGGTGAGGGGTGGGCAGGTCTGGAACTCACTGCAGCTAGAGAGGGGAGGAATAGGGCCTGGGTGTCCCCTCCCCACCTGACCCAGGCCTGGTGAGTGCCAGCTGCCCCAGCCGGCCCTAGTGGCGGCTGGAGACCAGACCTTTCACTTTGGACATCTTCTTAGTTGGCTGCCTCTGCTCAGTATGAGGGGGACACTCCCGTTCAGCCAGCTGCTGTTCCATTTCCTGAGCTGAGGAGGATGCTGTTGCTTTGAGTGTCTTCTTGATGTTGCTAACCTAGAAGGAGAAACAGAACTTGTGTGACCTGCCCGTACCTACAAACCTCAAACTCACCAAGTCCTGTTCTCACTCTAAGGACCACCTAAAGAAGTGGCCCAAATCCTCTGCAACAAAATCTAAAATGATATTCAGAAACCCAGAGGAAGACACACAGGATGTTCATAAATGAAATGGAAATGAGTTCAGCAAAAAAAAAAAAAACATGGAACTAGGAGCTATAGAAAGATGGCCCCAGAGGCCAGAAGAGGGCATCGGCTTCCCTGGAGCTGGAGTTACAGGTGGTGGTGAATCCTCTGGAAGAGCAGCAAGCACCCTTACCTGCTGGGCCATCTCCCCAGCCCACACGTTTCTACTTTAAGAACCAGTGTTTGGTATAAACAGCCTTCGTTTACCTCTGCACCCTGGGAGCATCTGTGAAGGATGTATTTAGACCGGGCTTTCCAGATCAAATGGATGCAAGTTTCATACTGAATCAGTATCGCTGTGAAGGCTGAGCATCCAGTGTCTGGAATGACTTGAACCTGCAGTGTTTCAGATTTCAATGTTTTTCAGGATTTGGGGATGGATAGGTTTGGGGATATGTTTTACTTATGCTCAAAAGTTTCTTCAGATTGGGGTTAGAGAGATGGCTCAACAGTTAAGAGCACTTGTTGCTCTTGCTGAAGCAACAAGAGATCCTTAGTTCAGTTCCCAGCACCCACATCTGGCAACTCATAACATCCCATAGTTACGGGGGATCTGATAACCTCCTCTGGCCTCCTCAGGCACCCAAATACATATGGCATACACTCATACAGACACACAATATATACATAAGTAAAAATAAAATCTTTTTTTAAATGTCTTTAGCCAGACACAGTGGCACATACCTTTAATCCTAACACTGGGGAGATGGGGGTAGGCAGCTCTATGTGAGTTCAAGGCCAGCCCTGAACTGGTCTACACAGTGAGTTCTAGGCTAGCCAAGACTACATAGTGAGACCATGTCTAAAAAATAAGTAAGTAAATTGATAGATACATAGTCTTTTAATAAAAATTACAACTCCTTTAAAAAGTCCACCTAGGCCTGGAGGGATGGCTCAGCCGTTAAAGGCTAGGCTCACAATCAAAAATATGAGTCCGGTTCCCAGCACCCACGGCTGTCCCTCCAGGTACCATTGTATTAAAAAAAAAAAAAAAGGCCACCTAGTTGGCTGAGATAACACGATCAGCAAAGGGCATACGTTGCAAACACAGGACCTGATTTTGATTCCAGAACCCATACACAAAATGCCAAGCATAGCAGAAGACATTTACAGTCCCAGGGGTCAGGTGGCAGAGACAGATCCCTGGTCCTCACTGATCAGTCAGCCTGACCTGCTTGGAGACTTCCAGGCCAAAGAGAGACTCCATTTCAGGAATGACACCTGAGGTGCATCCACAGGCCTGTGCACCTGTACCCACAAATATACACACAATGGGAGGAAAGGAGGTGGCAGAAAGATAGACAATGGCAACTAGTGCTTCTGCCAGGCAGTACTGAACTGAGTGCAGATGCCCACGTCCAGGACCCAAGAATGGCCTCCCAGGCAGGTCTACCAGTTAAACCTACTTTAGTCTCAAAGACTTTAAGGTACCCAACCATCTGCACCCCCATCTTTCACACCCATTTGATAACAAGTACGCCCACAAGTGTGTCTTCTTTGACCTAAATCTGACGAGGGCCCTTCAGGCATCCTTCCTCAAGGAATTGGCCTAGAGGCTGCCTCTGCCCCACCCCACCCAGGGAACCTAGAGTTGGCAGAGCTTTTCAAAGCATAGGCATCAGGAACTTCCCAGTGGGTGTACCTGTTAACAAAATGTAGCCTGGTACTATCAGATCAGAGATCCTAAGGACAAGCAAGAGACAGAAGGGCTCCCCAGGGGGAGGGGACAGGGGAGAACTCAGGGCAGTGCAAGAGACAGGCAGGTGTGGTGATAGGTAACCATAGTCCCTGGACTCCAGAGGCCGAGGCAGGAGGACAGAAAGCTTGAAGCCAGCCTGGGGTGGACTTTAGAGAGCAAGTAAAAGCAAAAGGAGCAAACAGAATCAAGCCCACAGGAAAGGCTGCGGAGATGTGAGAGATGGTGAGAATCGCACTCTGAGGTTCCCAGGAGGCATGGTTTTAGCAACTGTAACAACTGAACTCCTCAGGGATTTTCTCCACAATAAAAAATTGCGCTTACTCTTGTTCTATTCCTACGTGAGGGGAACACAGCCTATTCTGTAAATGTGTAACAATAACTATATATTAATATTCCACAGAACACCACACACAGCCACATTCAAATATAAAGAAAAATACATTCCGAAAGCAAATGCAATGAAGGGAGGCTTCGTGATGCTGCAAGCCACATTCCTCTCCCTCCAGAGTGCTGCTCAGGGGCACTGCAAAGCCGTGGAATGCTACAGTTGTATTATGTCTCCCCCAGGTACACCGAACTACATTTAAATATGTTATTTCTTCTCAGGCAGTTTGTCATAGGGTTGACTGAACTCGAAGGGAGGCTCTGGAAGGCACAACTCACCAGAAAGTTGTTGCTCTGAGATCTGAAAGGAAAACATCAAGTTTCTCCCTTCTGAAGAGCAATGGAATTTAAGGACAAATGGGGAAAAAATATATTTCACCTACTCAATCGATAAAAATGATTGTAGATCTGAGCCAAGCATAAGAGAAGAAACGACACAGGAGGCTGTGCCAGGATCACCTCTGTTCTTTATGTATGTGTTACGTTCAGGCGAGGATGCCGTAAGCACCTGAAGCACAGCTCAGCCATGAGCACCTGCTCCTGACACCAGACCACGAACAAGGTGCTGAGCTCTGCCCTCTCTCTCCATATCAGTCTGCTCTAAGAGTCCTAGAAAGCAGTTGGTTAACATATTAACTGGTATGAAAGAGGTAACCTTGCCCTGTCCTCACATTTCTTTCAAATTTCAATACTTTTTAATGTTTATTTTTCTATGTGTATGTGAGTGAGCCTGGGCATATGTCTGGGTACATGGACAAGGACGAGCCATGGAGGCTAGAAGAAGGCATTAGACCCCCTGGAACTGGAGTCCAGGTGACTATGAGCTACCATGTGAGTGCAGAGAGCCAAACCCAGGTCCTCTGCAAGAGCGGTGAATCCACCTAACTGCTCACCTATCTCTCCAGCTCCCTTCTACCCATTTTTAAAACACATCGTCACCATTTCTTTTCTTCAACAGCTGCAGAGTGTGCGTACACTGGAGAATTACATGTTCTATAATCTAGGCCTGCTCATTCTCGGCCACATCCCTACCTTCCAGCACCAAACCCCAGGCGTGTTTAAGGGCTATTTGTTGCATTCACAGGAAAGCACATGGCACAGACAAAAACACTGCAAATTCATATCTCAGCACACCCTAAGAGAGGAACAAATGTCCCTGTCTCTTTACCTCTGCCTCCACCTGCTGCTGAGTCCGGTGGTGGTTCTCTTTGTACTGGTTGGCTCTCAGAACTTGCTGTTCGATGCCCAACAGAACTGCCTCACAGCCGTCACACCTGCAATGGAAACACCAGCCCTGAGCGGCAGTGAGGCCCGAGCCCTCCCAAGGCCCAGCACTTAATGGGACTTCCTTCAACAACCCCTCTGCTGGATGGCCGTACCAGTCCCTCTCCTTCCAGACAAGTTCACAGATACAGTGGCCTGGGGGAGTTTCCTGGAATACAGCTCTAGCTTCCAGTCTTTGCAGCCCATAAGAAACAGTGGTACAGACTAAGACGGAAGGAGGGACAAACTCTACAGGTAACCCTGGCTGATCCCTTTCTACAACAGAAAAAAATACATTTTCTAAACACATGCTATTTTAGAGATTGCCTTTTTCCTCAGAATTTGAAGTTATTTCCTAGTTATCAACAACTTCTCACTTTTATTTTCCCACTTTTCATTTAAAATTTTTAAAAACAGGCTGGGCTCAGTGACACAAGCCTTTAATCCCAGCACTTAGGAAGCAGAGGCAAACAAAGGCAGGCCTGAGTTCAAGGTTAGACTGGCCAACACCAGCCAGGTCTACAAACTGAGATCCTGTTTCAAAAATAAGAACATTTTGGAAAAGCAATATAATGAATATTCATATACCGCCCACTACTATTCAATATGGTCAACATTTTGCCATATTTGTGCTATCTCTCAGGACAATAACTCTTGTTTCTAACTGACCTCTAACATCTAAATAGGAGTTCTGAGAGTCTCTTTCAGTGGCTAAAGTGATGGCTCAATAGTTAGTGCACTTGCTTGCTCTTACAGAGGATCCAAGTTCAATTCTCAGCACCCATGGACACGCTCACATCCATCCATAATTCCAGCTTCAGGGGCTCTGATATCCCCTTCTGACATCTACAGGCACCAGCTAAACACAGTGTAATTCTACACATGCAAGTAAGACACTTATAAAATAAAAAGTGAATACATTCTTTCTTGGGACAGAAAGAAAAGGTGTGTGCATATATTTCTCTGTGTAACCCTGGCTATTCTGGAACTCACTCTGTAAACCAGGCTGGCTTCCAACTCACAGAGATCTGCCTGCCTCGGTCTTCTGAGTACTGGGATTAAAGGGGTGTGTAACTAATAAATAAATCTTAAAAGAAGAAAAATCTGGGTGTGGTTACACTTGGGAGGCAGAGTTGGGCATATCAGAGTTTAGGGCAAATCTTAAACTTGATCTAAACCATGTATCCCTCGAACCTGGGACACACAGTTCCAGGCAACCCTGGATTAGAGAACAAGGCCCTGTCCCCAAAACAAAAACAAAGCAAGGTTCCCTATCTCCCAGCACAAAGCTGTCCACTCTGGGTAATGACATACAGCATGCTGTGAGCCTGTATGGGACTCTCCCCACTCCCAATAATGTTCTCTCCCTCCAAACTTCCTCACGATTCCCTAAGAAGCACTGGCTTTATAGGCACCAAATCATTTCAATCTCATAGCAAATCCTTGCAGAACATGTAATCACTTTTGCAAACATCGAATTCTACTAACATAAAACTATATCCCTAAGTCCTAGTTCTTTTCCTAAATTCACTTACTTTTTTGGGCAGGAGGTTGTTTGGGAATTAGAATCTCCAACTGGCCTCCAACTCATAATCCTTCTGCCTCAGCACCCTGAGAGGTTGAGATTACAGGCGTGTGCCACCCAGACAATTATGACCTATGCTATGCGCCTGTGTTCCAAGTCACAAAAGCCCATTTAATATAGCCCTCATGACGTTCCACCAGCACTAACTAGCTGACGTGCTACTGACAAACATTACTTCCTGAGCTTGGCCAAACTGAGTTTATGTTTGGAAGGTGCAGACTCAGTGCCACACAGCCAGGAGGCAGAGATCCTACCTGCATCTCCACATGAGTATTTTATGGCCCACTGTTACATAGCCCTCCTACATTTAAAGTCAGTTTTACAACTCAGGCACAAGGAAGCCTGAAATGATACCTAATGCCACATAGCTGTCATTAGAAATGAAGCCCCACTTTCAGTCTCCATGTCCTAGCGCCTCAGTTTCCCGGCTGCCCCAAGGCCTATCACAAACCCTTGGCTGACTTCTGAAAGTCACAGTTTTGTAAAGAGAGACACAAAGGGCGTACGAGAAGCCCCCTCCATCTCCCAGCCTCACCACTCGTGCAAGGTCTTGACAATATTGTTGATATCTTTCTTTCGGATGTCACGGCCAATGCAGAAATCCACTTCTAGCAGCTGGTTTCGCTGGTCCAGCTTGCCCTGGATGATGTCCGTGTAGACTGCCTCAATAATAAGGTCTTCTAGTTCCCGGAGATTCCTCATCTCCAGGTCCTTCAGCAGCACAGAGTAGGGGATACACTGTGGATAGGTCACATGACAGTTAGAAAAAACACTTGGCAAGCACTACAAAGAAACAAAAAAATTCAAGTATTACCCACAAGGCAATAGCTGTCTCTCTGTGCTTAGGCAATGCAGGCCAGTGGTAATCATCAATATCTAAGACAACAGGAGATGGATAAATAAACTGTGGAACCTGTGACACCCAAACAAGATCCACAGCACCCAAGGAAGCACCTTCCTAGCTCTCTGCTCCCCCCTTCCAGACCCATCCTCTGACAGATGCTAAACACTCCTTCCACAGCAAAGAGAAATACTCAGTATTCACTACACTGCCACCTTATGGAGGCTTGAAGACTTTGCATAAAATGCTAAACGGCTGCAAGCTTCAAACAGGGCTTACCCAGTACAGTAGAGGCATAGCAAAACAAAACAAACACACACACACCACCACCACCATCAGCAGCAGCAGCACCAACAGCAAAAACCAATCGCCTCGCAGGCCAGCACATCTACTACCTACAGAGGCCAGTAGAGCTGGGCAGTTCAGTTGATCCTGAAGTTTGTGTTTGTTTCTCAAACTCTTATAACCTACATCAAATCTCCAGTAACAGCCCCTCATACTAAAAAAGAGAGTATCTAAACATATGTATTCTATAAACCCTGAGATATCAGAACTAGTTTAGAAATAAAGGAGAAACAGGCAAGAGGAAGGCGAATACAGAAGAGAAACACAGCAAGAACACCTAGAAGGGTTTCCTAGAGATTAAAGCATGCTCTCTAGGGGGATGGATGGGTATAAAATGATAGGCCTCGAGAGAAGAAAACAGTCTTCCTACTCCTGGCCAAGTGTTGGTGGCGCACAATCCCAGCACTTGGGAGGCAGAGACAGGTGGATCTCTGTGAGTTTGAGGCCAGCCTGGTCTACAAGAGCTAGTTCCAGGATAGGCTCCAAAGCTACAGAGAAATCTTGTCTCGGAAAAAAAAAAAAAAGACAAGAAGAAGAGGAGGAGGAGAAGACAGTCTTCCTACTCTTTACCATGCTTAAGAGGTCCATGACAAGGAAAAGAAAAAGGTCCTTGTGCCCCGATTCCCCTGGAAAATAGGGCCGACTAGGCCACGAGTATAGCACAGTGGAGGACAAACATGCACAGGCACTGAGTTCCAACCCTGGAGTTCAATCTCCAGAACAAGAGAAAGGGAGGAAAGGATGAAAAGGGGAAGAGGAGCTTTGCACCTGAAATACGGGGCTGGCGACCAGAAACCTAATCTGTGATATGATAACTGAAAAGACAGTCAAGGAACAAACACACAACTCTTAATTACAGAGGAGAAAAGCACACTTATCACAGGCATACTCTCACAGAAAGATATAAATAAGGAGGGGGTAAGCCAAAACCAACTATACATTAATGGAGTCTGGCCCTTTTCTGTTAAAAGCTGTAAGCTACTGGCTGCAAGGCTTCTTCTAAATTGGCTGAGGCAGAGAACCAGCAGTTATGATGTGGTGGAATTTGACAGGATAGGTCCTAATGTTGGCATATGAAAATTAAATAAACACAAAGTTAGCAGATAAGGAAAAAATTCAATTAATGCAGTTAACCCTGAAAATCCCAAAGAAAAACAGAACAGGTATCTATCTCGCCAGGCAGGAGCATACCTTTAATCCCAATACTCAGGAGGCAGAGGTAAGTGGATCTCTTTGAGTTCAAGGCCAGCCTAGTTTACAGATCAAAGAAACCTTTTATAGAAAGAAAAGAAAAGAAAAGAAAGAGGGACAGAAAGAGAAAGAGATAGAGACAGAGAATGAGAGAAAGAAATAAAGAAAAAAGAGAAAGAAAGGAAGGAAGGAGGGAAGGAGGAAGGGAGAAAGGGAGAAAGGGAGGGAGGGAGGGAGGGAGGGAAAGCAAAACAAAACAAAACAAAAGAACTCTATCTCTCTGGATAGTGGTGTGGCTCAGTGATAGAAAGTATTTGCCTCACATGCACAAGCCTTGAATCCAATCCCCAGTATCACAAATCAGTAAAACTCCACTCAGCCCAACACTGCAAGTCTTTCCCCCAGCATGAGTGCAATCAATGTAGTGCACCAGGGAATCAGGAAGCTGTTAACTTGCTGCAAGAAGCCTTACTAAGGCCAGGTATAGTGTGACACACACATAACCTAGCATGTGGGAAGCTGAGGCAGGAGGATTGCCATGATTGTGAGGTCAACCTGTGCTACATAGTGAGTTCAACAGCCTTGACCACATAGTAAGGGTCGGTATCACATAACAAAAACAGTCAAAAAGACACCTTTTAAGAGCATTTAGGTAGCAGGTTCCTCTTAACCTGCATGAAGCCCCATAGCATGCCAGAAGAGAGACATGATGCATCAGTCACTACTGGGCTTGCTTTTCCAAAACAGAATGGGGAGTGACTGTCCACACATTTTAGTTGCCAAGTACATTTCATGCATTTAGGATATTACTAGCTGCAAGTTCTTTCACTGATGGCAATAAGACACCTGAGCCGGGGTTCAAATGAAGACAGGAAAGGTTTGGACAGTACCTTCATTCTTGATGCCAAACTCACGATGGTAAGATGTTTCAGCTTGTTCTGCTGAGCTGCGCTCAGTTCTGGCAGGCTCTCCTTGTTAGCTGCTCGGTCCCACCCACCACAAGAATCAAGACACAAAATAAAATTAGGATTTATTTTTATGATAAGTTCATCAACTCCCCCACCAAATCTACTACAAGATCACTGTCATGACTGCGCACTTACACTCCCCATCACAGCCCTACCTTCTCTGGAAGACCATGTGCTTCCAGAAAGCAAAGACAGGAACTTAGTATCAGAGCCAGACATGAACAAACAAATGATGTGACCGACTATCTTAATGGAATAGTGTTGTGCCCTTGTGAAGCTCAGTGAGCATGTTATGTGCAATGCACACGTCTTACAAGGAGAATCAGGGAGTCGAGGATGAATAAACTCTCGGCTATGTTGGGAGCTGCACCACACAACTCCAGAAGCACCAACTATGTGGAGTACACAATTCAATAACCCTGGATGCGTCCTCAGGTTTGTTTTGTTTTGCTTTGTTTCATTGTTGATTTTTTGAGGGAAAAGGGGCTGAGACAGGATTTTAGGTAACACAGGCTGACCTGACACTCATTACGCAGTGAAGGATGACCTTGATTTCCTGATCCACCTGCTTTTGCCTCTGCCTCTCGAGTGCTGGATTACAGGTGTAAGTCACCATGTCCAGTCTCAGTCTTACAATTGGATGTTGCTATAGCTACAAATCCAAAGGTAAAACTACCAGAAGAAAGATACAAACTACCAGAAGAGATAGTTATGAGGATAGAGAAGACAAAAAAAGAGAATAAAGGAAGAAAGAAGAGCCGGGCGGTGGTGGCGCACGCCTTTAATCCCGGCAGAGGCAGGCGGATCTCTGGGAGTTCGAGGCCAGCCTGGTCGACAAGAGCTAGTTCCAGGACAGGAACCAAATGCTACGGAGAAACCCTGTCTCGAAAAATCAAAAAAAAAAAAAAAAAAAAAAGGAAGAAAGAAGAAAAAGGGGGACAGAGAGAGAACAAACAAATACAATCGCATTTGGAAGATGCAAAACCACAAAAATGAAGGTTTCATGGAAGAAGAGTTTGAGATGAACCTTGAGGGATGAGCACAGTTTTAGTAATTGCATCGATGGTCACAGAGGCAGCTACACAGGACAGAACGCACAGCCAGATCCATTTACACGTGAGCACCTGCAGCTCATCCTCACAACACTCCAGGAGACGAGATTTCAAATGTCCTCAACCTCCTCGACCATAATTCTGGAGTCCAAAACAATAAATTTTGTTTCGTTTGGTTTTTGGTTTTTCAAGACAGGGTTTCTCCATGTAGTCCTGGCTATCCTGTAACTCACTCTGTAGACCAGGCTAAACTAGACTCAGAGATCACCTGCCTCTGCCTCCCAAAGAGATGGGATTAAAGGAGTGTACCACCACCATCTGGCTGAATTTTTTTTCTTAAACATAATGTTGAAAGACATCAAACAATTCCTCCCTTAAACCTATACTAGTTTTTTATCCTACTTGTGAATATTCATCTGTTTTGTTGCCCACGTCCCATAAGATTACAGAAAAAGGCACATATATCAGATTACCTTTTTTCTGGTTTTCAAGACAGGGTTTCTCTGTGTTACAGCCCTGGCTGTCCTGGAATTCATTTTGTAGACCAGGCTGGCCTCGAACTCACTGAGACCCTCCTGTCTCTGACTCCCAAGTGCTGGGATTAAAGGCGTGCAACACCACCACACTACTTTTCTTTAAAAATATTTGTATTATTTTTAATTATGTGAGTATGTCTATATGTGGGTATCTGCATATGTGTACAGGTGCCTTTAGAGCCAGAAGCACTGGACCCCTAAAACTGGAGTTATAAGGAGCACTGAGCTGCCTGATGTGGGTGCTGAGAACTGACCTCCAGTCATTTGCAGAAGCAACATGTGCTCTTCACTGCTACCTCCCCAGCCCCACGTTACCTTTTTAAATTTGCCAAATTCTAAATCCTGAAAATATTTAGCCTAAAGACTTACAAAAGTGCTAGGAGGCAGAGGCAGGAGGATCTCTGTGAATTCGAGGCCAGCCTGGCCTACAGAGCAAGTGCCAGGATAGCCAGGGCTACACAAAGAAACTCTGTCTCAAAATATAAAACAAAACAAACAAACAAGGCTTATATAATTACACTCATTGTACAGACAGGGAAACTGAGGCACACACGTGATCATTTAATTTGCTAAAAGACACACAACTAGTAGAAGTGGCTCTAGAATCTAATGCAGGCAGTCTGGTTCCAGAATCCAGGCAATGCTGCCTCCTTAGACAGTGACAAAGAGCAGGTCAGAGAAATGTCATGTACCAGAGTGGCAAACAGTTCAATCTGACAGCAACACAGAGTAAGTAGAAGTGGCCAGCGGAGAGGACGATGCCAAGGAAACAAGAGCGGGACTCTTGAGTCCCAGTCTACTTTTATACTGTCAAAAGAAGAGACAGAAGAAAGAGAGGAGATGAAAGGAAGATGAAACTAGGAAAGCCAAAAAGAATTACTTAGAAATAAAGGTAATATTTAAGCCTGCAAGCACCTCACTCCTGACTATTTAATGTTTCTTAATATTTTATTTACTATTACTGTGTGGGTGTGTATAATGTGTGTGTGAGTGTGAGCACAGTCGTGCTACAGTGTGCATGTGGAGGTCAGAGAACAACTTTCCAGAGTCAGTTCTTTCCTTTTACTAGGGCTTCAGGAACTGAACAGAAGTTGTCAGCCTTGAACCAAGTGCTGTCACCTACTGAGCCATCTTAAGGTCCCGCACCCTCATCACTGACAGGGGAGACAGACACAAGGTCCCGCACCCTCAACACTGACAGGGGAGACAGACACAAGGTCCCGCACCCTCAACACTGACAGGGGAGACAGACACAAAGTCCTGCACCCTCAACACTGACAGGGGAGACAGACACAAGGTCCTGCACCCTCAACACTGACAGGGGAGACAGACACAAGGTCCCACACACTCCCTGACAGGGGAGACAGACACAAGTTCCTACACCTAACCAAGGAGCTATTTGTAACTGGTACCTGCTGGGAAAGGGAAAATGAGTTTTCTCCAGCGGAGTGTCACTGAGTGTATCAGCCGTACCCCAGGGTGGGCCCCATGCCCAGGAGTAGTGAGACAACACAGAATGGACTCCATGGGCTTGTTTTTTTCAGAGGTTCTTTTTGCTTTTTGTTTGTTTTATTATTTTCTCTTATTATTTTTACTTTTTTCTTTTTGAGAGAGAGAGAAAGCATGAAGTTGGGTGGGTAGGGAGGTGGAGAGGATCTGGGAGGAGTTGGAAGAGAAAGAATATGATTAAAATATATTGTATGAAAAAAATTAGCAAAAATATAAGTGAATTAAAATAAAAACATTCAAATGAGCTAGGAACGCAGTGATATAGTGGTTTATTGTGAAATAGTAAAAATGAATGTAGACATGATGGCACATATCTGTAAGATGAGAAATTGGGAGGTTTAGGCAGAAGGACCTAGAGTTTGAAGTCAGCCTGAGCAACATAGCAAAACTCTGACTTAAAAAAAAAAAAAAAAAAGCCAGGTAGTGGTGGTGCACGCCTTTAATCCCAGCACTCAGGAGGCAGAGGCAGATGGGTCTCTGGGAGTTCGAGGCCAGCCTGGTCTACAAGAGCTAGTTCCAGGACAGGCACCAGAGCTACAGAGAAACCCTGTCTCGAAAAAAAAAAAAAAAAAAAATTAAAGGGGGGGAAGGGTGAGTGGGGGAACGGGAGGGAAATGGGAGGAGGGGAGAAAGTGGAAATTTTGAATTGTATATTTATAAAGCAATAAAAATTTTAAAAAATTAAATATCTTAACTATGGATTGGACAAAGGCCTGGGAAAGGCAAGGAATGAGACTGCACACACAATCTAATTACACCTATATAACACCAAACAAGCATAAAGGAGGAAAAACACCCAGCATCATAATGCTAAGGGCAACTTCATGGTTTATAATGTTTTCTTATTTTCCAGATTTTCTTCAATATAGTAATCTTATTTTGGAGAACATTCAAGCTGGGTATGGTGGTTCATTCTTATAATCTCAGCACTCAAGAGAATGGAGCAGGAAAGTTTTAAGTTCAAGACCAGCCTATGCTACACATAACCCTATCTCAACAAAACAAAGAAAGCAAAACAAGATTTTTTTTCTTAAAAATGTATGTGTGTGTGAGTGTGTGTGTGTTTGCACATACCACAGTGTGCACTGTAGAGGTCAGAGACAACCTGCAGGGGTCAGTTCTCTCCTTCCACCATGTGGGTCCCAGGAATTGAACACAAGCCATCAGTCAGGCATCCTATCAGGTGCCTCTACCTGCTGAGCTATCTCACCAGACCTTCACAGACTTTTAGATAACATTTAAAACACTGAACTTGCAGGTGTGATGAAGTGTGCCTTTAGTTCCAGCACTCAGGAGACAGAGGGAGGTGTATCTGTGTTCAAGGCCAGCCTGCTCTGTATATTGAGTTCCATGCCACCTTACAAAGCGAGACCCTGTCTCAAAAAAACACTTGATTATTTTGCTAGTTGAGTGCCCTGTAAACACTACTGCTCAAGACACTGATCTGGGAGATATACAGGCCTCTGTTCACTGATGCACACACACACATAATCCCCATTTAACACCTAGGACATTAAAGGTTATCAGGGAAATGCTTTTGTGAAGTTACCTTCGGAGCACAGAAGACGGAGATATGGTCACATCAGTAATTAGACTTGCTTACCCTGCCCACACCCACATATAACTCTACCACCCTACAAACAGCTGGCAGTTACCACGAGCTTCAGATCTTCTTCAGGGTCTTAGCCAACTCACCTATATAATCTGGGTACGTTCCGTAGGCAAACAGGTTCAGCAACTGCAAGTACGCAGCATTAGCTCCTTCTGCAAGCTGAGGAAGGAAAAGTTCATCACAAAACAAATTTCCACTAATCGCTACAATAGACTTTTTCTTTCTTTCTTTCTTTCTTTTTGGTTTTTCAAGACAGTGCTTCTCTGTGAAACAGCACTGGCTGTCCTGTAGACCAGGCTGGCCTCGAACTCACAGAGATCCACCTGCCTCTGTCTCCTGAGTGCTGGGATTAAAGGTGTGTGCCACCACCACCCGGCTTCACTACAATATTCTATAGAGGACTTGTGACCAAACGTCAAGGATGTCATGGTCATTTCTTCTGCACTATTTTATTAGGTATTTCCTAAGGTCCTTTCCACTTCTGATTCTTGGAGAAAAACTAAACAAGACTATTTGAGTTCAAAAGGGAATCTTCTTCTTTCCTCGGGAAGACATTTTGCACAACATATAAGATGTTCAAGTAGCTTCTTCTTCCTCTCTGCCCCTTTGCCAGCCACTCCACCACAAAGCTCTATGCACCAGGAGCATCAAGTCTTCTCGGGATCTCCCCTGCCTTAAAACAAATACCGAAGGCTGGGAGTCTTGCCTAACACGCACACAGAGCTAGGTTCAATCCACGCTGCATAAATGTAACTCCTCAGGTGGATGCAGCAGGATCAGGAGCTCAACATCACCCTGTTACCACTGAGTTCAAAGTCAGCCTGGATGACCTGCGAATGAGAGCTCGTCTCAAAAGAAAAAACAAGAGAGTGTGGTGATCCTGTCTACATACCAACTGTTGCTGTACATGACATGTGTATGACATGTATGTATGGTTATGTATGCAGTGCACATGTGTATGATCACAGAACAACTTTGTGGAGTTCATTTTCTCCTCCCACCTTTATGAAGGTTCTCAGAGATCAAACTCAGATCATCAGGCTTATACGCCAGCACCTTTACCCATTGAGCCATCTTGCCAGCCCCCAATTTAGTATGGTGGCACCCACTAGAACAAACTGCATGACTAGTTCCAAGTTTCAGCACTAAATATGAACTGTGAACCCTGGCCATCCTAGAACAGTGTAAGGTGTGACAGAAAGGCTATACTGGAACAGAGTTATCATCCTGAGCCAAATAAAAATGTTCATTAATTTATTTCACTTATGTCATGAGATGGCAAAATGACATCCATGGGAAAAAATGCAAAGAGTAGCTGAGCTGTATCACACAGCTCAAGCTTATGATCCCTGATGCTTGTAAAGCTAAAGGAAGGAGATGATGAGCTCAAGGTCAGGCTGAGCTACAGGCTTGGGGGCCTCAGCAAGACCCTGGCTCAAAATAAAAGAAAGACTTGCACATAGTTCAGTGGCTGAGTACCTGTTCAGCATGCAGAACACTGTATGTTCAATCCTCAAAGACACACACACTCACCATCTCTTCCCACTTACCAAACCCCATGAAGCAAAACAGGAACAACATTATTCTTTTTTAGCTATCTAAAAAAGAGTTCCAATAATTGCATCCATAATTTCAGAATGCTGACAAGCAACTAGTTTATTCCTGGCTCAAACAGGAACAACAGAAAGAGTAGGCAGGCAAAGGAGATTTGCTAAGCCCCAGTAAGCTCCAATGTGAGAATGCTAGCATCCTTACATGCCCGAAGCTGCCCTTTCGAGTTATCATGAACACCCTCAAGTCTCAGGACCAGAGTGGAAGAGATTCAGTAAAGAACATTGAATCTAGCACCTACTTTTCATACAATTACAAAGTTAGCTAGATCTTTAATGCAGATACTCCAAAACTTCTCTGACTGGCTAAGTCTGTAAGGTCTTGCCAGCTTGTTTTTTTTTTTTTTTTTTTTTTTTTAAATATTTATTTATTTATTATGTATACAGTACTCTATCTGTGTGTATGCCCACATGCCAGAAGAGGGCGCCAGATCTCATTACAGATGGTTGTGAGCCACCATGTGGTTGCTGGGAATTGAACTCAGGACCTCTGGAAGAGCAACCAGTGCTCTTAACCACTGAGCTATCTCTCCAGCCCCCGCCAGCTTGTTTTTCATCCATTTTTTCTTAGCCAGTTCTCAACAGTCACAAAAAAAAAAAAATTACTTGGCATCTTCATTCAGGAATCTGAAGAAACACATTACAGCTAGTCAGCTTTCCTATTGGAAAAAACGAGCCTAGTCAAGGACACTCCCATAATTCCAGCACGTGGTAGGTGGAAGCAGGATCAAAGCCAGCCTAGGAAACACAAGAGTCAATCTCAAAAAAACCAAAACTAAACAAAAAGCCTAACTCTCAAATCTACCTCAAAAAATTATTGATTGAATCTTTCTGTTTATTTGTTTGTTTTGTATAGTTTCTCTGAATAGCTCTGGAGTCTGTCCTGGAACTTGCTCTGTAGACCTGGCTGGTCTAGGAACTCACAGAGATCCACCTGCCTCTGCCTCCCGAGTGCTGGGATTAAACGCATGTGCCATCACTGCCTGGCTTTGACTGAATCTTTACTCAAAGTCTACTACGTGTCAGGCTATGTACTCAGCCAAAGGAAGCCATGGTAAGCTTAAACCACTCTGCCCTCACACAGACCTTACTATAAGTATAACAAGCAAGAGTTACATCAAATAAAAACTTACAATTAGGCCAGGCAGTGGTGGTGCACACCTTTAATCCCAGCACTCAGGAGGCAGGGGCAGGCAGATTTCTATGAGTTTGAAGTCAGCCTGGTCTACAAAGTGAGTTCCAGGACAGCCAAAGCTACACTGAGAAGCCCTCTCTTGAAAAACAAAAAACAAACAAACAAACAAACAAATCCTTACAATTAACAAAATAAAATCAGGTTGGCTGGGAATGTGGCTCAGTGGAACTATGTACAATGACCCAAAACTGACTGTAACAATAAAACAACACTATCTGTGTCTAGATCTTTGGGACTGTCTTACTATCTTTCATACAATGAACAACACAATCTAGTTTTATTCAGTTTAAGGGAACACTGAATAAAAGAGCTCTAAGACATTATCCCTGATCTCCTCTCCACCAATTCCAAATAAGAGGGTACCAATGTTAAAATTTGCTGGAGACCTGGAGAATGAGAATATAGCACAGAGAAGACAGAAAGACTGTCTGAAAACTATCCTTACCTCCTGAACATTGGCCAACTCCAGCAGTTCTCCAAACACATAGACTCCAGGAGCCTCCAGCACCTGGCTGATGAGAGTGGTAAGAGCTGAGCCACTGGTACCCTTGGCTAATAAAATAAACTGCTCCAGGAGGTTGCTTGAGGGCTTCTGTTCACCTGCCATTCTCTGGTCTTGAGATCTGTCCAGAAGGAAAACGGGTCAGTCATTCTACCACCTTTCCAAAGTGTGAACTGAGTGCTGGGTCAGACACAAGAACACTTTAGTTTCACAACTCTCCATAAAACAGCCCCTGAATCTAGATACAATAACCACTTTGTGAGATGGGCAAACTTCACCTTGGAGTTAAAGATATTCTGCCCTCAATTCTGAAGTTGTTCTGAAACACACAGTCTAAAAGACACTTTCCTACCTGTTCCATCAGAAGCATCATCTTCTAAGTCCGTAAAGCTGACCAGGACACAGGGGAGTTTCTTTACACGTTTTTATATCTACCTCATTTCTAGGCTCTATTAAAAGACAGAGAATACTGCCCATGCACAGAGGCAATTTTTGTGTTATTAGAATCACACGTACAGGAGCTGAAGAGATGACTCAATGGTTAAGAGCACTGACTGCCTTCCAAAGGACCAGGTTTAATTCCTAGCACCCACATGGTGGCTCATACCTGTCTGTAACTCAATTCCAGGGAATCTGACACCCTCACACCAATGCACATAAAATTAAGTAAATTTTTTTTAAAAAAAAAAAAAAGAAGAAGAATCCTACCGACAGCCAGGCACATATCAGAAACAAAGAGAAAACAGAGCCGCATTTCATTTCATCAAAAGCCCATTTTCAGAGCTCCACACTAAATCGATGCTTAGCATATTATACAAGGCACTGGCTTGCCCAGCAATGGGGAAAAAAAAAGTCATTTCAGCATAGGAAGGTGGGAAAAATAATTACAAAATTAAGCAATGATAATTCAAATCTAACCAGGCAGTGGTGGCACTAGCCTTTAATCCCAGCTCTCAGCAGAGGCAGTAGGATCTCTGAGTTTGAGTCTAGCCTAGTCTACAAGAGCTAGTTCCAGGACATCAAGGGCTACACGGAGAAACCCTGTCTCAAAAAAAAAAGGAAGGAAGGAAAGAACGAATGATCGAACGAAAGGAAAAAAGACAATTCTGTAGTAATAGGAGCGGAGGGCTGTGTCCCGCCACCCTGCCGGCCACCCGGCATTTTCAAAATATCTATGTTGGATTAGTTCAGCAGCATTTATAAACAAATATCTTTTAGCAGCTGTTACTCTTTTCTCAGCATTCAAACAATTCAAAGAGAGCATAATAGCATACAGTATCAAGATTCTCTGTGTATTTTCCATCTTTGTACGGCTTTATTTTGACCTCTATTTCGTTTATTTTTACTTTTATTTTATATTCTCTGTATATCTTTGACCTGGAATAACTCTGTAGACCAGGCTGTCCTTGAACTCTCAGAGATCCTTCTGTCTCTGCCTCCCAGGCACTGGGATTAAAGGTGTGTCCTACCACACCTTGAAGTCACAGAGTTCAACTCAGAGGTCAATCTACCTCTGACTCCCAAGTGTTGGGATTAAAGGTGTGTACTACCACACCCAACTACTCTCTTTCTTCCCTTTTTTTGTTTTTTACTTTAAGAACTTTAAAGTTTAGTCTGCATATATTTTTAACACTGTAAGTTATTTAAAAATTTTCTTTGTCTTTGACGCTCTCTTTACTGTATCTCTCTCTGTTTTTCTGACCACATGAGTCTTTAATTTACCAAGCAATCTCAGTAGGACTAAAGCCGTGGCTTTGCCGGCTAGCTGTAGCCCATTCCTTAGCTTTCTGCCATTCGAACCATGTGGCTGAGGTACCGGCCAGAGCCACATTCAGTGCCACAAGTCTACAGTGTTTCAAGGTCCTTGCCATCAAACAAGCTGCAACAGACAACACTCAAGTCCTCTCTCTGTAGCTGGCCCTCCTGCCTCAAACAGTCAGAGTTTGCCCTGGCAGGACGGCTCAGAAAGCCGGTATTTTTAAACGGCGCAGCTTTTTTCCTGCTATGGCTGAAAACCGAAAAGCATGCGTTCAGCTTTTTGTCAACACCGGTTAAGTGTTTCGTGGCAGGACCTCTTAATGAGCTGCAGGGTTTTGCAGCTAAAGATGAGTCAGGAAGCCCCTCTTAGATGAGAGCGCTTGCTTGCTTCTAGCAAGCAGAGCAGACCCGAGAAATCGCTGCTACCAAGAAAACATGCTTTACTCTTTCCCAAGCTTTCTCAGGCTTTCAGTGGATTCAACTGTCCACACATCTGGGCGCTATTTTGTAGGAATAGGAGTGGCGGGCTGTGTCCCGCCACCCTGCCAGCCACCCAGCTAGCTTTACACCCGAAATAATTACACGGAAACTGTATTCATTTAAACACTGCTTGGCCCATTAACTCTAGCCCTTACAGGCTAATTCTCATATCCCGATCAACCCATCTCTGATAAACTGTGTAGCATCAGTCTTACCGGGGAAGATTCAGCATGTCTGACCTGGCAGCTTGCTTCATGGCGTCTGGCCCAGAGAGGGGAAGCATAGCGTCTCTGCTCCAGAGAGCAGAGCTGTCAAGTCAGAGCTCACTTCCTCTTCCTCCCAGCATTCTGTTCTGTTTACTCCTCCCACCTATGTTTTAACCTATCAGGGCCAAGCAGTTTCTTTGTTGCTTAACCAATGAAATGAACAGATTGATATATGACACTCCCACATCACAATTCAAATCTAGAAAATACATTCTATTAAGTCAAAAATTGCATTTTGACCTCCTGCCGATATGGACATTTTAACAAACATGACTCCAGAACTTGTACAAAATCTTAATAACTGGATATGAATAAACAATGCAGATATTGTTTTTCAATTAATTTATCTATGAGAGCATTTTGCCTGCATGTATGAATACACCATGTTCATCCCTGGTGTCCATAGAAGCCAGAAAAGGGCATCAGATCCCCAGAGAATGGAGTTACAGATGGTCTGTAAGCCATCATGTGGGTGCTGGGAATCAAACTCTGGTCCTTTGGAAGAGCAGCCAGTACTCTTTTTTTGCTTTTTCTAGACAGGATTTCTCTCTGTAGCCCTGGCTGTCCTGGAACTCCCTTTGTAGACCAGACTGGCCTCAAACTCACAGAAACCCATCTTTCTCTGCCTTCCAAGTGTTGGGATTAAAGGTGTGGGCCACCAAGTGCTCTTAACAGCTGAACTATCTCTCCAATTCCCAATCCCAATGCAGATATTGTATTGTCATCGTCAAGATATTTGGTACAGAACAGTTCATCAATTGTGTAATATACATATATGCTGAGTGTGTATGGGCTCTAAAGGAACCCCACATAAGATTTGTTTTCCAGAAATGATACACACTGAAGAATGTGACAAAATGAAAGAAAAGGGGCATGGGTGTGTGGGTATGAATGAACAAAAAAAGTCAAAGAAGAGCCCTTTCAGGTTATTAGGAAAGGTAAGTATGTTGCCTCATTTAGGGTTACCTAAGATCCTCTCAGAAACAGAAAAGGTGAAGTGCTAGAAAACAAAGAGTTCTAAGGAAAAAAAAGAAAAGCCGAGGAAGGGAAGAAGAAAGGGAGAAGGGGAGGAAGACGGGTGAGGAGAAGAAGACTAAGTTAGAAAATGAGGAACAAAACCTGGTCGTTGCCTCCACCCCCAAGCAGACACAACCGAAAAGATGGGAGTCTCAGCCAAGAGACTAAGTGGAAGGAGCAGGGTGGGAAGAGAGTTGGGGATGGGGAGAAACTCGGGTGCCTCTGAAAGATCTCAATCTCAAGAGCAAAGTCTGTGGGGATAGCGTGGATGGAATAAAATGGTGACTGACGTTTTTCTTCTGAAGTGGGAGGCTCCTCGAGGAGGAGGTTAGGGACGGAGTGGAGATGAATTCCCGTCTCGGGAAGACGCTATTCTGAAGCGCCAAAAAGGGTCAAAGGAAACAGCTTCTATGGGAAGGGGTGCATCGAGGGCAGCTACCGCGTGGAAGACGACAGTCGCAAGCTAGAGTGGACGTCAGAACTGCTGGGCTTGCTCCTAGCAAGCAGCACACAGTGAGGACCTCCCGGTGTCCTGCAACGGGGGCGGGGCGGCGTGGCCATCTGCTTTCTTGGGAAAGCCTGCGGGATCGAAGCAGGAGGTCCAGCCAAGACCAGCGGGACCTGCCCTCTTGCCGTCTCCTACCTGTCCGCTCCGACTCTCTGTCCTCTTCGCCGATGTCTCGGCCTCCCAGAGCCTGCTTGCAGGTTGTCAAGCTTCCATGATCGGCCGGGCGTCCGGCGCTTTTCTGTCTCCGCCGACCCGTCACCGGTGCTGTTCCCCCGGAAGCCTCCCACCGCTGCACTTGAGTTCCGCCTACACAATGTTCCTGCTCGGCTTTTACAACTTCCCACCTAGAGTGAGACTGCGGCGGGAGGGGAGGGTCCGAGACCAGCTGCAGCCCCAGAAGCAGAATAAAAGGCAAGTAAAACACAGGGCCCGACGAGAGGAATGTGGCCTAGGTAATTGCCTATATAGTAGCTGTCATCATCGCTATCCTGGGCCAAAAAGCACCCCTTTGGCTGAACTTTCTTTACAAGTGAGCCCTCAGGCAACTGCGGCTACCTTGGCATTCTGACACACTATTTATTGAACTATTTTTTTTATTTGACAGATGTCCATATTTATCTTGCCAGATTCTCATAAAACTATGACTTGTATAAAATACTCTCATTTTCCGGTATGCTAACTAAGGCTAACAGTTGAAGTCAGTAAGTAGCAATGTTGGAATCCAGGCTCACGGAAGCCAAAGACTATGTTCCTAACCTGTACTCTGAAACTGTTTACAAATAAGCAGATCGAAGACTGAAGAGATGGCTCAGAGGTTTAGAGCATTTGATGCTGCAGAGGGCTAGGTTGGGTTCTTAAGACCCACAGAGCAGCACACACTCACATGGGAGCTTACACCCACCCAAAGGAAGGCTCGTTCCAGAGAAATCCAATGCCCTCTTCTGGTCTCTGAGGGCACCAGGCATGCACATGGTGCACATTCATACATGCAGGCAAAGATTGCAAATGCATAAATAACGTTAAGCGTCTATTGCGTTCTAGCAGGAATTACAGACCATTACAGGGTGACAAAAGCAAAGTTATTGCCCTCACAGAGATCCAGGCTAGTAAGTGCCGTGAGAAAAGCTGGAATCACAGAAAATAGATTGGGGAAGAAAAACTAGATTGGGTGGGGGGTGTTGTTTTGACGGGGGGGGGGGTGTTAAAACATGGAAGAAGTCAGGCATGATGGCACATGGCTTTAATTCCAGCAAACAAGAGGCAGAGGCAGGCAGATCTCTCTAGTGCCCCTCCTCCCAGTCTTCCTTTTCTTATTTTTACAATGTCCTTCTCTCATATTTTCCTATAAAAATTCTATTAGCCATCTACTCAATGTTTCTTAAATTCAATGGAAAGAGCAATCTTTTTAAAAACTTAAAATACTCTATTATATTAAATTAATCATTTCTGGCCATGGGCAGATCTCTAGTTATTGCCCAGCCTGCTGCTCCCTTACAATGTACTTAATAACTTTCTCTTTCTCTTAAAAAAAAAAAAAAAAGGAACTGGAGAAACTGTGTAGTAGTTGAGAAATCTCATCACCCTTGTAGAATACCCAGGTTCAGTTCCCAATACACACACACACAGCACTTTACAACCATCCATAAGTCCAGTTCCAAGGGATCTGACATCCTCTTCCGACATCCAAGGAGACCAAGCATACGTATGGTGCACATACATGCAAGCAAAACACTCATACACACAAGATAAATATTTTTGGCTGTGAGCCTAGCCTTTAACAGCTGAGCCATCTCTCCAGTCCACACATAAAATACAAGTAAATCTAAAACAATTTTTTAACATCCGTACTGGGGATAGAATGTAGGTGAGCAGTAAAGCGCTTGCCTAGCACAGGCACGGTCAATCCCAACACTGATACAACAACGCAAAAGAGATCATTTGTATTTCAAAGGACACTAGTAAGAGAATGAAGACATGCCACATTCTTGGAAAAGACATCTGCAAAGTATATGTCAGAAAAAGAAATCTGTAATACTACATAAAGAACTACAAATCAGTAGGAAGACAAATGCCTAATTACAAAAAATGAGCAAAGCTTAGCACCTGACGAAAAGCCCACTCAGATAAGCAGAGAAGGTGGTCAGCATCAGAACACCAGGAATGTATACTCTAACTAATGCCACATTTAGCCAGAATGGCTACAATTAAAAAGACTTACGGCAAACACCCAGTTTGAACACCAACTAGAACTTTCCTTCATAGCAAGCAAAAGCCTCAGTTCTCAATCGTTCTGGAAAACTGGTGATGTCCGCTACCACTGACCACATGCATATTCTACAAGGTTAACAACTCTGTTCCCTAAAAATCTATGCAACGTGTCCACCAGAGGAAGCACACAGGAATGCTCACTTCAGAATGTAGCCCTGTCAATGATCAAATTCAGAAGTCCCTCTGTTTTAGAGGAGATAAACTCTGGGGTTTATACGTACAATTTGCCAACTGAAAAAAAAATGGTACAAACACAAAACTACTGATTAACAAGAACGCCAGACATACCCTATACACACTGTGTGATCAATCACATTCAAGTGAAATCTACGCACAAAGTCAAATATGGACAAAATATCCAGTAGCCAAGAAAGCAGGAGAATTGATTACCTCCAGACATGGGGATGCAGTACTGATTGGGGAAGGGTATGATAATGATTTGCATCTTGATTTGAGTGGTACTGATGGGTGTGTATATCTTCTCTCACCGAATGTGTGGCATATCTCAGTAACAAAGGCAACTCAAGATGAAAAAAAAAATTAACATGAGGGAAAAATCTCATCCTTAGTGGTTCTCAACTTTCCTTCCTAATGGCTCAATCCATTAACACAGTTCATGTTGTAGTGATCCCCAACCACAAAATTATTTTCATTGATATTTTATAACTGTGATTTTGCTACTGTTATAAAGCATAGTGTAAATAATTTTGGAAATAGAGATCTGCCAAAGGGACTGTGACCCACACGCTGAAAACTGCTGTTTTAAATTAAAACGCTACTTCTACCATAAAGTTTTAGCAGCTATTGCACCTCTAAGGCATTCTCCACCTGATCTTAACCAAAAGGCCAAGAGGTAATCCTCTTGGCATTCTAACGTCTTTTCTTTTATGTCATTCATCACTCTATCTTGAATCTCCTTAACTCCCTAAACAGTTATGTATCTTCCAATGACGGTGACATAGCTTTCAATTACTCAGTACCTGAGCCAAAAAAAAAAAGTTTGTTGAATTACTTGAAAGGGGAAAAAAATGGGTAGGTGTTCAAATGGGTATAGTGGAAACAGGAACAGGAAAGAAGGCCTAAGGAAGGACATAGGCATCTTTAAAGAGGGCTAAAACAACTCTACTTTTTGGAAAAATCATATTAAATGTCAACTTGAATGACAAAAAAAAAAGCAAGTCAAAATAGCAAGACCTATCTAGACTGAGGAAATCACACTATCACACTACAGCCTCTTTCAGGAAATCCAATATGCTTACCTATTCTCTGGGCGTTTCAACCTAGTTGGGGAAACTGCTCGTTAAGGAGAAAAACAATCACATTGTCATGCTGCTAAAAATATCACCTCCCTAGGGTAGTGGAAAGAGACCACACTGCAGGTCAGTGAACTTAAAGCTAAATTCTAACTCTAGAACTTGCTGTGATCTGTGGCCAATCTCTGCCTCTCCAGTCCTCATCTCCTCATATTTAAAAACTAAAGATTAAAAAGTGATTGCGTTGCTAAATTCTTTTAGGTCTTCCTATACTGACACTGAGTATACAATCCTTAGTCTCCCAGTCTGAAGCAGAAATACAACATAAACCCTGCAAAACACGTAAAAGTGCACCCCAGACTGATAAACTAGCACTATTTGAGGAAGTCATTTTGTTCTATTATCTTTCAAGGCTTAATACGTGGTTTTGTTAGTTGTTTGCAGTCTTACCATGGTTTGCAGACTTCTGAGTTCCATGTAAACAGAAGTTAACTGTCGGTGGGCTGTCATGTCTCCAGGGAGAAAGAGGACGCTCCCGCCGGGTTTCAAGTAACCGGATTCAGAAACCAACCCTACAGACGGATTCCAAATTTGCGCACACAGCGCGGCACACTGGAGCCTAAGTTAGAAAGATGGAGCGCAGATTGTGCTGGGATTTGTAGTCCCCGGCTTCTAATGGTGAGCTGGGATAGCGTACTCCCTGGAAGGCTGGGAAATGTAGTTTCTGCCACCTTGCACAGAGCAGCCTGCCACAGTCTCAGACCGCTAGTGTGCCCGGCGACGGGAGCAAACTCCCCAAGCCTCTGAAGATTTCAAGCCACCGCTCCGCTGGGACAAACTCTAGGCAACAACACGAATGAAAATTCTGTCCTCCGGGACTCCTCCGAGAGGGCCTTTCCCACTGACGCTCTCCGTCCCCGAGCGAAGCCGCTGAGCATTGCTATTGGCTCTTCGGGATGTCAATCGCCAAGGCTGGCTTGCCATTGGTTTCAGGGCGGGAGCCCCACGACTAGAGGGAAGGCGAAGGGATCAGGAGCGGGAGCTTAGGGGAGGGAGAGGCCGGTTCGGGTCTGGCCCCTACCGCTGCTTGCCTGAGGTGTCCGGCCGGGGAGCGGCTCCGTCCTCGGTTCCTGGGTACCGTCTGCGAGGCCCTGCCGAGCCAGCGTGGGAGGGCCGCAGGCGGCAGGCGCCGCATCATGTCAGCCAAGGACGAGCGGGCCAGGGATATCCTGAGAGGCTTCAAACTGTATCCGCCCGGGAGCAGGGGCGGGGCCGGGGAGGACTTGGGAGGAGGCCGGGGCTCGGAGGAGCCGAACTGTGGTGGGGGTGCCTGGTGGGCACCGGAGGAAAAAGGGCTGCGAGAGGGGGCAAGAAAGGAACGGCGTGCCGGGCCCCCCGGGAGGGACTGCGAACGGGAGGCGGGCACAGGGGCGCCCTGAGGGAAGAAGGGGACGTTGACGGAGCCTCTGGGGGACGGAGGCAGAGGAGCCCCGGGACCTGGCTGCGAGAGGTGTCGGCAGCGAACCGGTGTCCTGGGGCGCTAGTTGGAGTCGGGAGGCTAGAAGGGGGCTGTGGTCCGCGTGCAGGGGCCGAGGGGGTGCGGCGGACTGGCCGCCTAGTCTGTCTTGGAGCGCCTTTGGCGGGAAGCCCATGAGGGAGCAGGGGAAAGTGACTCCAAGCAGGTGACCTTGTGTGGGATAACTGTACGTGCTCTTGGGTACCCCATCTCACTTAGCCCCCACCCCCGTCTTGTTTCCACAACTTCTCTCCCTTACTTGTGGCTTCTTCTAGGGCTGGAGTAGTGGAGAGGTGGGGAAAGAGAAATCCAAGACCGACCCCACCTCAACACTTTCTTGGCCTTTGAAGCATTGGATGGTCACTTTTCTCCTCAACCTCTCAAGTTCTCTAGTTCCAGCAAGACGAGTAACGTGAGCGTGTGTGAGATGCCTTGAGGTACTTTGGTTTTGAACTCACTTCTGGCAAAACTACCTTTGTTCCTTGGCATTGCTGTGGTTAAAGCTTTATTCTGTTGGAGCTGTTCACAATTAATTGTGTTGAGGACACCATACAGTATAAGAAATCATTGCCTCGATGGGCTTGGTGTTGAATGCCTGTTATCCCTTTACTTGGGAGATAGAAGCAGGAGGATCAGAAGAAATTCAGGTCACCCTCAGCATCTTATAGAGTTCAAGGATGCTCCTTCTTGCAGGAAGGCAGTGAGGAGGCAGAGGAAGAAAACAATTGTCTCCACCTATCATAATTGTAGTGTGACTTTTGCAAACTCTCTATATATCATAAGGAAAGTTTGCAGGGTTTGGTTTGTTTTGGAGCCAGGGTCACACTGTGTACCTCTGACTGACCCAGATCTTGATGTGTAGACCAGGCTGGTCTCAAATAGAGATCTACCTGCCTCGTCTCCAAAGTGCTGGAAGTGCTCGGTCTCAGAGTATGGGCCAGCACGTCCAGCTAGAAGCTTCGTGCTTTGATGGAATATTTGCCACCATGAGATGCAGATGAAATGATAAGTGGAACTACTCCATCAATAGGCAAAGTGTAACCAAAATCTGTCTATATGGGTAGTGTGCAATTTCTGCACAGGACTCTTTTTAGTAAATACATCACTGCATACGTCAGGAAGCTCCCTCCAATAAAGGAACATAAAGATTTTTTTTTTTTTGGTTTTTCGAGACAGGGTTTCTCTGTGGTTTTGGAGCCTGTCCTGGAACTAGCTCTTGTAGACCAGGCTGGTCTCGAACTCACAGAGATCTGCCTGCCTCTGCCTCCCAAGTGCTGGGATTAAAGGCGTGCGCCCCCACCGCCCAGCTAAGATTTTTTTTTAAAGATGCAGATGAAATGTATTCCAGTTTTGCATTCTGCTGACCTTAATCTTTGCTTACGTCCCTTCCGGACAGCAAGGAATGCACATAAATTCCTCTCGGTGCAATGTAGCCCTCTTTCACTGAGCTTCTCCCTCCCCTGGAGGCTTAGGAAAGCACTGTTCTCTGAGCAACCTATTGTATCTTCACAGGACCTGTTTCACCTCTTCCAATACTTAATTGCTTTGTCATCATTAGTAACCGAGGGGCTGGGCGGTGGTGGTGGATGGAGGCAGAGGCAGGTGGATCTTTGTGAGTTTGAAGCCAGTCTGGTCTACAGAGACAGTTACAGGACAGCCAGCACTACCAGAGAAACCCTGTCTCAAAAAAAAAAAAAAAGAGGAAAAGAAAGAGAAGAGAGAGAAACCAGAGGTAATGGAGTAAAATTTAGAATGCTTAGCACACATGTTAGATCATGCTTATAATTTTAGGACTTGGAGACTGGAGCAAGAAATTGTCATGAGTTCAAGACCAATCATAACACACTACATTTTCAAAAAGGGTGGAACAGTGGACTGGGAATAACACAAGGTCTTGGGTTTCTGTAGCATCAGGGAGAAACAAAACAACACAGGAAGGTCTGGATGCAAAAATGAAAACTAATGTACAGAGGTTTTGCTAGTTTGATTTTAGGGGCAAACAAGCAGAGTGTATTGAGAAGAAAAGAACATCTCCCTGCAGCTGGGAGAACTAGAAAATGAGTTGCCCCTGCTGTGCTTTTTAGAAACAGAAGGCTGCGTCCCCTTACATAGTGCCATTCGTGATAAAGTCAATGTATTTAGATAGTGAAGTTTAGTAACAGACCATTTTATAGCTCCGTGTATGTTTCTGTTTGTCTTTATAATGGAACCCTAGCAGATATGGATGACTGAAGTGTTAGAAAAGCTATAGCATGGCATTTATTTTTCCTTTAAATAATTTATGTTGTTACTGTGTGTGTACTGTAGATAATAAACCATAGATTGTGGGGAACTAAATTCCAGAAGCGACGCTGAAAACAGGTGTTTGGAGTAAATGAATACAGCAGAAAAGCTTAGCCCTTGTCACCATTACTCTTGGCATGACCTGTTGAGAAAAAGGCTAAAGGGCAAATGCAGAAAAGACTCAAAGCTTGGTGTGATCCGCGCACACTCTTAGTCCCAACACTCAGGAGGAAAAGACAGTCTGAGCTCTGTGAGTTTAAGGCCAGCCTGATCTACAGAGCTAGTTCTAGGACAGCCAAGGCTTTCAAAACCTTGTCTTGCCGGGCGGTGGTGGCGCACGCCTTTAATCCCAGCACTCGGGAGGCAGAGGCAGGCGGATCTCTGTGAGTTCGAGGCCAGCCTGGTCTACAAGAGCTAGTTCCAGGACAGGAACCAAAAGCTACGGTCTCGAAAAATCAAAAAAAAAAAAAACAAAAACAAAAAAAACCTTGTCTTGAAAGATCAAAAATAAAAGATAAAAAATGCGGGGTTTGAATTGATCTCTTAAGTAATGATGTTAGTGCCACATAGAACTTAGTGGTAGGTTTTCTGTGACCTGATAGTAGGCTTCTCTGCCGGCACAGTAAGCCAGATCAAGCTGAATTGAAAAAGTAGAACAACAGGTTTATTTGAGCAAAGCAACTCCCAAGTGGATTCTCCAGTCCCAGAGATCGAGGCCAGAAAAACCACACTACTGAACTAAAGTGGGGAGATTAGGTAGCTTGTGGGAGAGGGGTAGTGACATGCGTGTCACAAACTGGGTTTGTGCCCAAGTGTGGGCAAAAGCTGCGCAGCTGGGGCGGGGGTACTTAGACGGCCGACAACTTCCAGGGAGGAGCTGCTGCAGTGGCCAAGAATGTGGAACTGGGCTTTTTGGTGGCTTCCTTTTATTTAGAGGTTCTCTGAGCAGGCAGGGTTTGGAGAGGCAGGAATGGGTCTTGTCAGACCAGCAAGAGCTGCGGGAGCAAGCTGGAGATTCCAGCCGAACAGTTAGCATGGGCGGGGTGAAGTGTGCATTCTCTAGTACCCTTTGTTGACATCTGAAAATAGAGACGGAAAATGGGGCTGGACACTAGCTAGCAGTGACCCTAGGGGGTCTGACATCTTCTGCCCTCCGCACGCGTGGCATACAGAAACTCATGTAGGCACACATAAAAGATCTTTAAAAGAGAGAAAACAGGTGCTCGCTTCGGCAGCACATATACTAAAATTGGAACGATACAGAGAAGATTAGCATGGCCCCTGCGCAAGAAAAAAGAAAAAAAAAAGAGAGAGAGAAAACAGGAACAGTATGGTTTACCTGCTTTCTTTTGTTTGTTTTGGTTTTGGTTTTCCAAGACCAAGCTCACCATGTAGCTCTGGCCATCCTGGAGCTCTCTCTGTAGAGCAGGCTGGCCTCAAACTCAGAGATCTGCCTGCTTCTGCCTCCTGAGTGCTGGGATTAAAGGTACACGCTGCCGCTGCCACCACCATACCCCACCCAGGCTTCCACTTACATTTTTTAAAAGATAATTTTATGTTAGAAACAACTTGATCACTCACCAGCTTTTGTTGGAAATTTTTTTTTCTGAACTGTTTTCAGATTGTTTCTGGAAAGGGTTTTGTGCTTAGTAATATTTGTCTTAATTACTTTCCTTTTGCTGTGGTGAGACACTATGACCAGTGGAACTTAGAGAAGAAAAGGTATTGGAGCTTACAGTTTCAGAGGGTCAGAGGCTACGGGTAGCAGGCATGGTGCTGAGCTTACATCTGACTCACAAATGTTAGGCAGAGAGCCAACCAGGCATGTTGAAGATTTTGGACACCTCAAAGCCCACTCCCAGTAACACACCTCTAACAAGGTCACAGCTCCTAATCCTCCCCCAAATAGTTCCACAGACTGGCGAGTGACCAAACATTCAAATATATGAGCTTGTGGAGGCCATTCTCATTCAAAATAGCACATTACTATTTTTTTTAAACAAGCACCCTATATTCTCCCACCAACAGTATTCAGCTTTGCACATTGATTTGTTTTTTTTTGAAAATCTTGTTTCATTTGAAAAGTTTAGCCTTTTAAATTTTGTATTCCTGCATCTCCAGCTTGCTGGAAGAATAATGTTCCGCTGTGGTTAAGTGCTATGCTAGCTAGGTGGTAGGACACATGCCTATGACCCCAGTGCTTAGGATGCGGAGGCAGGCAGATGTCTGAGTTGAGGCCAGCTTAGTTTTCCTGATTTACAGAGCAAACTATAGGCACCTCTCAAAAAAGGCAGAGAAAAGCTCTACTGGAGTGAGGGGCTACACTGCCTGCCGTGGAATTCTCGTCCTGTGTTCCTGAGCAGTTTCACCTCAGTGCTCTTCGGTAGAAAACAGGACCAACAATAGGATCTGTCTTACCGGTCTTGTGATGTGAAATGAATTGATATCTAAGCGTTTGGAAAAGCACCCGATATACATTGAGCCTTATATCTTGGCAGTGTTTTTTTTATCAATGAAGCTGCAAATCTCATATTTTTTGATTTTCTTCTCTAAACTATTTGTTAATGTTTACCCATTTTACTATTGTTTGTTTTTCTTGTCACTTTCCGGATATTGTTTATATTTTGTGCATATTAGCCTTTTGCCTAACGTATATGTTTTAAGTATTTTGTCATAGTATACTGCTTAACTCCTTTTCTGTGGTTCTAGCTCTGGGTTTTTGTTTCTGCAACCCCAGGGATAGAACCTAGGCATGAATCACATGCTGAGCAAACGCTCTGTCATCTGAGTATATCCCCAGCTCTCCTTTCACTTGCTTACTTGCTCATCTAGATATCCTTTGGCAAACTCGTACATGTATATAATACACAGTAGTCACATTCATCCCCACTTTCTCTTTTCTCCCCCCCCCCCATTCCCATCAAGTTCTCACACCACTTTCATGTCTTTTTGTTTTTGCTTTGTGACTTTCCCAGTGGTTTAACCAGGGCCGTCCAGTGGGTGTGGTTGTGGTCCACTGGTAGCTACATCACTGAAGACAATAACTTCTTCCCCAACAGCCATTGTATCTCCCTAAATCTTTTAGAATTTTTACTTAGAGACAGAGTCACATTGAGTTGCCCAGACTGGCCTTGAAGTCACTCAGTAGCCCCAGCAAGCCTTGAACTAGTGATCTTTGTTCCTCAGCCTCCCATGAAGCCGAGTTTCCAGGCCTGTGCCACCTTGTCTGGCTTATCTCCTTTTTGTGATTGAACAGAATTCTTTTTAAGTTTTATAAAAATGTATCCATACTTTCCATTGGACTTTTGCATTTTTGTCTTACTTAGGAAGATCTCCCTCATATCCTGGTTCAGCTCATTAAATACTTTACCTTTTCTTAACGATTTCTGTAGAGAGGGACAATTTTGCATCTTAAACCAATTTTTGTGTCTATACAGAAGCAGAGGATTTTTTTGTTGTTGTTGTTTTGTTTTGTGCTGGTGATCTCTCTTATCCTAAGATTAATCAAATAGTCTGTTTTCTTATTTTCAATACTTAACACTCTAACCCACCTGAAATGTATTTATACTTACAGTGTGTGGTAGGAACAAGCTGCTTGGAAAACCCACTATCCAGGTAATATTTACTAGCCTCTTAGGCCACTTTTCCTCCGTTGTTTTGGAACAGTCTTTGTCATATAACAAACTTTCGTAAAGCATGGTTTTACTTTTAGGATATTGTTTCGTTGATTTATTTCTTGCCCCATGCCTGTACATGCTTGGGGTAATCACCTAGTTTTACAGTATGTTTTAACATAGTTTCAGTGGGATTATCATGACATGAGTATGTGTCTATAAAGTCATAAGGTTTCAAATAAATATTTGTGTCCTGTTTATTCATACAAAGCTTTGTTCATATGTCCATTATAGATATTCAGAAAACATGAATAATACTAAAAAACTCAGCTCTAACTGAGGGAATTCATGAAAGGTTTTGTATTTGTTATGTTACTTGAAAAATAAAACACCATAATTTCATTTTCTTAGCATCTCTGTCCCATCCCTTCTTACCTGTTTTCAACTCATACATATACATTAAGAGTTTTCTATTTCTTTGTTTGTTAAAAGAATGACATTGTAAATGTCCTAATTGTAAATGAAAATTACGAATGAAATTTTTGGGGGAGGCAAATGAGATGCTTCTATGTAGATTTTGGATTTGATCATTTTAAACAGCCGATAGATTTACGAATCCCACATTCCCCATTTATTTCATTTAACCAAAGGTCTGCTGGGAGGCTGTTATGCACAGGGTGCTCTGCACTTGAAGGCTACAAAATGAATGAATGATTTGCCCCCTTTATTTCTGTTTAGAAGGGATGTCTTTACATGATGTTACTAGCTAGGTCTGGTGGTTTAGGCCTGTAATCCCAGCTACTCAGAGACTAAGACAGAAGCATTGAAAGTTCAAGGCCTTCCAGGGCAACTTAGCCTCAAAGTAAAAGTTTAAAATAAATAAAAAGAGGGCAGTAAAAGAATAGTCACCTGCTTTCAACCTTTAGTGCTGAAGTAAAATATTTTTAAATACTGTTTTATTTTGCTGCTATATTTTATTACAATATTTTAATGTAGTTAGTATAGTTTGCTAATGTGGCTGATGTTTACTTTTACTGTTACTTGCTTTTATAAAACCTTCAGAATTAACCAGGCCATGGTAGCTCATGCCTTTAATCCAACACAATTGGGAGGCAGAGGCAGGCAGATCTCTGAGTTCGAGGCCAGCCTGGTCTATAGAGTGAGTTCCAGGACAGCTAAGGGTACACAGTGAAACCCTGTCTCAGGAAAAAAAAAAACAAAAACATTAACAACAACTTGAGAATTGTTTTGAAATGTTACTCAGGCTTATCATGTTCAAACTTCTAAAGATAGGCACTTTCAATAGTTTTCATTGATACACATTTATTATAGTACCTTTTCTTTGAGAAGGGGTCTCTTTGTTGTCTAGGCTACTCATCCCTCCCTCTTAGCACACCAAATGGCTTACGAGGACAGCCTAGTTCACTCTAGTGCTCTTATACTATTAGGTTCTCATATGGCTTCTATATAATTTTACCTATTTGTGTAATTTTTTTCATTGTCATAAACATGTTCCTTAATAAGTTAATATGAGGGGAGGCAGTGAGATGGCTCAGTGCTGCAAAGCCAGAGTTTTTAAAGATTTTTTTAATATAAGCAAAACAACTTATTGTTTATGATTTCATTATCTTTAATCCACTGGGAATTTGCTTTGGTAGAATCTGTGTAGAAGTCATATAGTATTTTGTTTTGAGAAAGGGTCTCACTACATAGCCCTGGCTGTCTTGGAACTCGCTATGTAGATCAGGCTGGCCTTGAACTAACAGAGAGCCTCCTGCCTATGCCTCCCACCATTACATCCCAAGTGCTGGGATTAAAAGACCATGCCTAACTAGGTTTTAAGTTATTTAATTATCTCCATTTATTTATACTCTAGATATTAATATAATATCCAGGTAAAATGTGAATTAAGAAAATAAACATTTGACTCAAAATAGAAAAAAGAATATATCGATAACTTCCCAGAAGGAAAGACCAATGAATAAATGAAGATACATTCGACCTTATTCAAACTGCCTTTTTATTGAACATTAACTCATTTTGAACAACTTTGGAGGGAGAGGAGCACTAATTTGCTTTCTTAGGTGAATATGTGGAGCCTCTATGAGAGTATAACTATCAAAATTCTGTGTGTAACTGCTGTGCATGTAGAGCGTATGTAAAACCGTGGTTCAGACTTGCCACCTGCAGCCCTATGACCTTCAGCCCCGCCCTCACACTCGTGCCCCAGTGTCCGCAGCTCACGTTCTCAGGGGATGTTACAAGAGCTGGACGAAATTTGAATTTAACGCAGATAGTAAGTAATTAACTGCAGTTATTGAATCTGTTAATAATTACGAATACAAATAATGTCTTCATACTGTGGTTATACTTTGATGTGAGTAACTATAACCTTTCTCTTTTGAGTCTGAAGAAGTAATTTAATGGGTGTTGTCTAAGAATGCCATTCCAGGTGGCCTTTAAAAAATTGATGCAGGCCGGGCGGTGGTGGCGCACGCCTTTAATCCCAGCACTCGGGAGGCAGAGGCAGGCGGATCTCTGTGAGTTCGAGACCAGCCTGGTCTACAAGAGCTAGTTCCAGGACAGGCTCCAAAACCACAGAGAAACCCTGTCTCGAAAAACCAAAAAAAAAAAAAATTGATGCAGTATGAACTTGTTTCCTTGCTTTTCTCTCAGAGGTTGGCGTTGAAGCCTCTTATTACACCTTGGTCTT